ATTTTGTTACGTAGAGGTTTTTTACTCATTACAAGTAAATTGGTACAAAATAGTTATGTTTGTATAAATGAAAGCTGCGAATATACATAATTTATGTTTTGAATGAAATTTTATAATTATGTGTACAGCGCGCAAGAAAAGATAGCACCTTAACATTTTGATCAGTCTTGACTTTTTTCTTTTGTTTGTTTAATGTTAATTTTTTCCTATAACGCCATACCTCACTGTCTAGTAAAAACCACTTAAGTCCAGTTTTCAAACTGTATACAAAAATTATAAACAATTCTTAAACTTTTGATAACAATTCAATGGTTTTTAATTGGGATTTCTAGAAAAAATTTTGTTATGCAGTTTACAAAGTAATTTACAGAGAAGAAAGTGCATAATACCATCAGCTAAAAAAATTATAAAAAATCAACAGGATTTTTTAGCAACTTCAAACTTCCACCTTATACTAAATTTTAATGAGCTATAAAACTAAATAACATTTTTTTTTTCTAGAAATCCAAATTAAAAACCGTGGGATTGTGTTCAAAAGTTTAAGAAATGTCTATAATTTTTGTATAAAGCTTGCAATTTGCATTTATGCAGTTTTTGTGAGACAATGAGCTATACTTTTAACAAAAATAATGAAGATTAAATAAATAGAAGAAAAATAGTCAAGACTGGTCGAAATGTTGAAGTTCTACCGTTTTGTCGTGGTCTGTATTGAACTTTTAAGTTTTTTTTAAAATAAATTTATACTGTCATGGCAGTTCGCCAATTGGTGACATAAAACATCTTTCGTATTCTTCTCGTATGAGTTTTGCTTGTGGTGGTATATATCGCAGCAAAGATTCCGTCATCGGACTTCAAGAAAAATTATAATTTGAATACAAATTAAATTAAAAGTTATTTTGCATCCGAAAACAAGGATATTCTTTCAGTGATTTTTGGACACATAAGGAAGCAAAAAAGTGAATTATTAATAAACAGCCTAAATATTTTGTTGTGTATTGTTCACTTCAATTGCCGCACAAGAACACAATAAATATTGCCGCAATTTTGAAATTTTCATTGCCCCATGATTGCCAATCGAGCTATCACACGATTGCCGCACACGGGCCGTATTTGATTGGGCACAGTAAGCACAATATCGGCCTCTATTGCCGCATGAGTCAATTTATTGTGAAATCACACGATTGGGGCATAAAATGAGGCAATAATTGGTGTATTGCGGCAATCGTGGGATCCCAGCTTCACTTACATTCATTGATAGTGTTAAAACGATACGAGTACAGAGTACAAAATATCGATACCTTTTCTGAGTAATGAGTAGTATCGAGAGCTCAATCATTTTTGAAAAGTAATTGGTAAATATCGCAAATACCAAATAGTATCGAGCGCGTGGCTTTTTATTAGAATTCGTCTTGATTTCGGTATTTTTGGGAAAACCGTCGCCCATAATATCATTACTTTTCCTATTTTTATCAGCTTTCTGGAAAAAAGGTCGAAAAATATTATATAATAGAATCGTATTTGTTATTTGTGGCCTAATTAATATTTGTTTTGAAACATGTTACTCAGCTAGAGAAATAAGTTTTTTGGCAAACAAAGATTGATTCAAAAAGTTTAAAAGGATCAAAGATATGTAGACTGGATCATGATGTCTTTGTTGTTGTTGTCTTTATTAGTTGAACTATGTTTTCTGATAATTTTATTGCAAGGAATGCTCTTCCTAATTGCCCGTCTCCACAGGATAAAGTTTGTATCTTGATATATATATTAGAGTATAAATAGCCAATGGAGACCGCTCATTGCTCTTCAAGAGCAATATATGTATATCAGAGCTTATATCTTGCTATCCATTGCCGGAAATTTGGTAGTTTGACAGCTACATTTTCATTTGCACGAAAACTTCGTGGCTGCAATATCATTATTGTTTTAATATAAAAGTTATGTACTTAAAATGTAAAATAGTCTATTTTCTAAATTTTTAAAGCGATTAAATCCGGCAAAAATACGTTTTCGAAGCTATCTTACAAATGCTTATATCAAGATATAAAAAGCCCACACAAATATTGCCACTGATATTACTTATATCTAGCGACCAAAATGACAGCTGGGTAGCAATAAATTTTATCCTGTGGAGACTGCCAGTAATGTTTCGTAAATTTTATCAAAATAAATTGTTATTAGACCAATCAAATGTTACTTCAATTACATACAAAATTTGTTTAAATTAATATTCGTCAATTCAATAATAAAATAAATGTAATTTTACCTGCGTTCTCTTTTGTGTTTTCTATTTGGTTCTACACGCATAAACTTTTATGAATTCAAGTCCTTGGTTCTTTAAATTGGAAGCAAGGAAAAGATCAAAAGAGACAAAAAATTGTAAACGGTACGGAGGTATGTGTACTCTCCCCTCTCTTCTTACCTCCTTCGCCTACGAACGAGCAGACTATATAAATATGTATATATATAAACGAAATATATATACATATGTATATCGTCACCTAAGAGTGAAAAGGTGCAAAGTCTATTTTTTGGAATTATTCAGGAGAGACGAAAAATCGATGTAGTTTCGTATTACCTGCCATTCTGCACCAAAAACTAAGTTTTGAAAAAAAAAAATAATTAAAAAATTAATTCGTTTGTATAAAAAATGCCTTAATTTTTGTTACATTCACAAATAAGTTTTCCTTTTTCACAGTAAGGTCAAATTTCTTAAGACAACAATAAATGCCACTACGCAATTACAATGAAAAATGACCACTCAGGGAGTAGCCATCGAACAAAAAATTGTTAGCAGTTTTATCATAAGGGTTGTGTATTACAAAACTTAAAAAATGTTTTAGCGTATTTTCGTTTGAACTGAGCCGAACCATTTATTAAAATGGTTTTCGGTTTGTTTTGGCATATCAAAACAAAAACGGTTCGGTTCGAAGCCCGAAAAATCGGCGGTTGGGTTCAAAAACCGCTTCGGATCAAAACCAAATCAATCTGGGCCAGAATAGCGGCATTTGATATCGAACGTTACTCGAATCGAAATTTGATTTTGAAATTCTGGCAATCGATATCGAGTGTGCTTTGTCCATTTAAATGGTATTGTTGAGCTGCCATTTTGTTTGCTTCGATTCGAAACGAGTGATCACTCTATCACAAATGCCGCGATTCGGGCCCAGATTTGTGTTTACCTTCTCACGTTAGGTTGACGGCAGAGTGGTTGCTAGAAGCGCTGAGGGGCGTAAAGAGAAGCTGTAGCCAACTCTACCAGATGCCATGGTGAAACCTGGATTGCACAGCTAAAACACATTTCTTATATTTCAAGAATTTGTATTTACTTTCCCTTTTAATTCAAACTAGGCCGCTGGCGTGGAGTAGTGAATAGCAGTCCGTGCTACCATTATGTAGCCCAGTTTCCGACCAACATCAAAAAATACAATATAAAAATGTTTTTTCTAATAGCGGCCACCCTTCGGTAAGCAATGGAAAACCGCGGAGTGTATTTCTGCTATGAAAAATAGCCTGCCAAAAAAAAAAAAATATATATATATATATATATATATTAGTAAAACAACATACTATTAAAGTATTTCGAGAGTACACTAACTATTTTTTAACCGACTTCAAAAAAGGAGGAGGCTATCAATTCGTCGGAATATTTTTATGTATGTTATCTATCGCATAACTTTCAACCACGTCAACCGATTTCTATAATTATTTTTTTAAAAGTAAGGTGGTGCCTCAGAGGTGGTCCTATACTAGTACCTAGAAGAAACCAAAATATGTATTTATTTACATAAAAACTGAAAATAGCGATTTACGAACATAGTGTGCCTAATGTCACAAAAACAAAATGCCGCGCAGAAACGTAAATTTTTTTTTACTTTATTTAATAAACATAAACATAATATATAATCCAGTACTAAAACTTAGTCTTTACAAGCCAGCAAAAACACCAATATTTAAAAATTTTATTAAAAATATATATCAAATTGGGCCGATGTTACATTTTCTAACATCGATGTTGGTCTCCTTGGCGTGGGGCTTTCTATATCAGCACGAACTAAGAGGGAGGCTCCGCATGGGAACCTGTGTAAGACACGAGCTTACACAGTCTCGTATGTGGAGATTACCGCACCGACGATTACTCCTGCCCTTATTTATCCCTCCTTATTTTCCTATCCCAACAACCCAACTCCTCCCCCCTAATCCAGGGTGTTACGCGACACCGTGCCCATTGGATGGTTTGCAGCCAGGGGGTTTAACAGACCGGCTGTATTTTAACGGCGCCTTCCTGACACCGGGCCGCCTCAGGGAGTAACGGTGGCCTTACTACGGCAAGGGGCGCTGCCGCGGTGTACCGTATGATTTCCCCACATACTACGCAGACCACTGCGCTTGCCTCGTCGAGCAGGTGGTCGTACGAACAAGATGAATAACAATCAAAAAACCCCAACAAAAACAAAAACAACAACAACAAAAAAATTTACAAAAATTTCGTCTTCCCCAAATCGGGGTAAGACTGCGCAGGCGCAAGCGCAACATGCGCCGCTGCGCTCCAGAAGGAGCTCTTCCGGGCTGGATGTGGGGGACACCTCACGCCGGCCCGTGCCTACGGGTGTTATGGTGGGGCCTAGCACCAGCATGGCTGCAGGGATTGTGTTGGAAACGGCAAATCCATCTGCGGCTGTGGGTGCTGGGGGCCCATCAAACGCCGGCACGGCTGCGAAGTCTACCACCACAGAAGCAGAGGCCTCACGGCCTGACCGAAGTGGACTAGGGCGACAAGTGGCCACAAAAGAAATCACCGGAGGCGTGGCAACAATGGCAACTATGGGCCACGCCACCCAGGAAACCGAGTCTGAGAGGGGTATGTACGCTGAAAAGCGTAAGGCCGCGAGGACGCTAAAGAAGTACCACGGGGTCCCGTTGGATACGCTGCCCCAGAGCGCGAAGGAAGCGGTGGAAAGGGCGAAAGCTCTACTGCCCAACTTCCAGGTCAATCTCGGGGCTTCGGTGGAAAACCGGGTACCCCCGTCAAAGCGACAAAGGTCGGTGGAGGAAAAACTTCCTGCACCCAAGAGAGTCCGGCCACACTCCTGGATGGGCAGACCTAGCTTTGCCGAGGTCGCGAAGGACCGAATCCTCATAGGGGTTTTGGACCGAGGCAACGAGCTAGGGTCCATACCGAAGGACCAGTGGAGGTGGGTGAAGGCAGCCTTGGCGAACGTCATTTTTGATGTTCTGCTGGAGAACCCCGGAACCCCTCCAGCTTGCAAAGACGCTGGTTGGTACCAGGGCACGTACAAGTGGTCGCCTGCGAGGATCCGAGATCGGTGGCGCTGTACAAGGCTGCCGTTGCAAGGATATGCCCTGTCTATCCAGGGGCTAGGTTGGAGGTTGTAGACTGGAAGGACATTCCAGTCAGACCAAGAGCAAGGGCTTGGGTACCGACGACACCTTCGGCACCTAAGAGCATTCTAAATGTGCTTCAGATGATGAACCCAGCCCTTCCGACAAGTGATTGGAGGGTCATCCGAGTCGAGGACGCTGATGGCCCTTCAAGACAGGTAGTTTTGTCGCTAAGTATATTATGGCCTCGATGAGGTCATAATTAGAGTCTATCGCGGCGACGCGCAGCGCGCCTCCAGTTCGGGTGCAGCAATGGACATGGACATTGAGGCACCCGAACCGGAGCCGGAACCGGAGCTCTCCGACGCTGAAAGCAATGACTCCTCTCAATCAAACTACGCATCGACAATGCGCAGGGTGTTTGAGGAGGAAGAACTGCTGTACAGCGACGGGGAGTGCGAGGCTGACGTAACCGTCGTAGCGATGGATACTCCATACGAGAGTACTGCAAATCAATCTCCACATATCTAAAGCAGCTTCGGCTGCTCTTCTATGTCGTCTGTCCAAAGACGATGTTGAGGTGGCACTAATCCAGGAACCTTGGGTTTGCAACTCAAGGGTCTGAGGATTGAGTGCCACGGGCTTCGAGCTGGTCTCAGAGCGTGGTAAAGGTAAAATTAGAGCCTGCATTTTGGCAAAAGCGGATTTAAATATCTTTCTTTTACCTAATTACAGTGATGGTGACGTCGCGACAATAATATTTGAGCTGGAATGCACATCCATCGTATTGGTTTCGGCATACATGCCCTATGAATCGGAGCACCCTCCTCAAGCAACGGTGCGGAACTTGGTGACCAAGTATGAAAACGGTCACATTTTGATTGGAAGCGATGCCAATGCCCACCATGTCCAGTGGGGCAGCTCAGACATAAACGATCGGGGTGAGTCACTTTTCAACTACATCCTAACAACTAACCTACTTATATGCAATAAAGGTAGGGAGCCTACCTTCATTACTAAAAACCGTAAGGAAGTTCTAGACATAACTTTATGCAGTGAAAGCTTAACTGAGATGGTGGAGGGTTGGCGGGTTCTAGATGTACACTCCTTCTCTGACCATCGATATATTGAAATAGTATTGAATTTCTCTCCAACTAGCCCAACACTACGCAAAAACTAAAAAAACGCAGATTGGAGCTACTATAAACAGCTACTTGAAGATAAGCTCTCTAGCTTAGCCCCTATAGAACCTGAATGTACCGAGGATCTAGAGAAAATGGTCAATGTATTTACCTCGAACTGCTCAGAGGCCCTAGGTCAGGCGTGCCCTGATCCTAAGCCGCGAGGTAAATGTAAACCACACTGGTGGTCGCGGGAGTTAGACCCGCTTCGGAAATCTTGCAGGAAGCAATTCAATAAGGCCAAAAGGCTTAGCTGTGAGCTCGAATGGCAGGAGTACAAGCGGTTACTCCGGGCCTATAAAAAAGCTCTGAGGGAAGCAAAGAGATCTTCCTGGAGGGTTTTTTGTAGTGGCATCGAAGGTGTTTCCGAAGCTGCCAGGCTGCGAAAGATTCCCTCCAGATCTCCCAACCCGATAGGCTTCTTACAAAAGCACGATGGATCCTGGATCTCCACGGTAAAGGAAACCCTTGAGCTACTTATATACACCCACTTTCCTGGGAACATAGTTGTAGGGGAAAACTCCCCTTCTGTAACTTCTTCCTACGCGGTGAATATACCCATCTCGGAAGAAAGAGTCAGATGGGCAATACAAAAAAAAACTGCAGGACCAGATGGTATAATACCTGCACAACTGATTAAGACACTGGATGTGTCTGCAAAATGGCTTCTAAGTATTTTCAAGGCCTGCTTCAAGTTTAATCACATACCGCTGGCATGGAGAAATGTCACGGTCGTCTTAATTCCAAAGGCCGGTAAGGCCTCACATACTAACCCGAAGGATCTTAGGCCCATCAGCCTTTCCTCCTTTGCTCTTAAGACACTTGGAAGGATTGTTAGCAGCTTCCTTTCTGACACCATAGACAGTCGTCTACTGTCTGATAACCAACATGCGTACCGTTAAGATAAATCGACGGAGACCGCAGTTCATCATCTGGTCGCTTATATCGAGAAGTCCTTCAACGTTAAGGACTTCTGTCTCGTAGCCTTCTGGGATATTGAAGGCGCTTTCAACAACGTACTTCCGGAGGCTATTACTAACGCCGTGGGGGCCCTAGGAGTGGAAAGCTCACTGTTGGAGTTTATCGGTCAGCTACTCTGCTGCAGAGTGGTGAGGGCGAGGCTGGGAGCGTGCGAAGTATCGAGGCTTGTGACGAGGGGCACTCCCCAAGGAGGTGTGCTTTCTCCACTTCTGTGGAACCTGGCCGTCAACCGCACTTGTGTGGAACGGATTGGGGGGGAGGAAAAGTTGTTGCATACGCCGACGACATTGCAATCGCTTTCAGGGGAAAATTTCCGCAAACGCTATGCGAGCTGATGCAGCGAACGCTTCGGGATGTATCCAAGTGGTCTACCCGCTGTGGCCTGAGCGTCAGCTCAAGCAAAGCGGAGCTCGTCCTCTTCACGAGAAGGTATAAAATGCCTTCCGTCACTCCACCGGAGCTAAACGTCTTCCGGTTAAGTCTCCCTACAAAAGCCAAATTTCTTGGCGTTATCTTAGATAAGAAGCTATGCTGGAGGAATAATATGATTCAGCGTTATGAAAAGGCTTCCGTTGCCCTCTATACTTGTAAAAGGGCCATAGGCAAGAGATGGGGCCTCAGTCCCCAGATCTGTCGATGGATATTTATAGCAGTCGTCAGACCAATACTCCTGTATGGAGTGATCGTGTGGTGGCCTGCGTTAGATAAAGTGGTCAATCTCAGGCTTCTCACCAAGGTGCAAAGGTCTAGTATGATCTGCATAAGCGGAGCGCTCAGAACCACGCCAAGCGATGCTCTGAACGCTATTTTGGATCTTCTGCCACTGGATTTGGTAGGAAAGCAGATGGCAGCGCTCGCTGCTCTTCGCTTAAGAGAGGCATACCAATGGCAACCTGTAGCCCAGGGACACTCTTGTATATTAAATGAATTCTGCTTCATTCCGAACAGCACAGACCGCTGTGCTTCGACATCGATTCCGGAAAGCAACTTCAGCACCAGAATTCCAAGCAGGGAGGAGTGGAAAGAAGATTTCAACACTCCATCCGATAGCATTAACATCTATACAGATGGTTCAAAACTCGACGGCAAGGTAGGAGGCGGCGTTTTCCCACGAAACCCTCCTCTAAAAATCTCTTTTAGGTTACCGGACTACTGCAGCGTATTCCAAGCTGAAGTTTCAGCCATCATGGAAACATCTTCATTTTTAGTGATAGTCAGGCTGCGATCAAAGCTCTGAGCTCCTTCACGTTTCACTCAAAGATTGCGCTGCACTGCCGCCTATCTCTACAGGAGATAGCCAAGCAGAACAGACCTCACCTCACTTGGGTCCCTGGTCATAGGGACATAGAGGGAAACTGCATGGCAGATGAACTTGCAAGGCAAGGCACGACCGGGCAGATTCTTCCTGGTAAAGAACGCATTGGTATGCCTTTTGCCACTTGCAAACTGCTAATTAGTGAATTTGTTTACAAACAAGCTGAAGAAAGATGGAGTCAAAGTACGACTTGTCGAGTTTCCAGGCAGACTTGGCCTAAATGGGACCGGAGGCGGTAACGAAGGGTTTACTCTCTTAGAAGAGAGGACATATCTAACGTCGTTGGGGCCCTAACCGGGCACTGCTTAATAGGTAAACATGCAGAAAGGCTCGGGGTGCCCTTTCGTAGATGTTGCAGAAGCTGCAAGGACGACGAAGAGGAGGAGACAGTCTTGCATCTCTTGTGTAAATGCCCTGCAATGTGCAGAAGCAGGCTGCGTCATCTGGGTTCACCATTCCTGGCCGACCTTAAGGAGGTTTCAAGTACCGATGCGAAGTGCCTGATGAGATTCATCAGCGACACGAAGTGGTTCAATGGGGAGGATAATTGAACGGTGTCAACTGTGGTAACACAATGGGCCTTCACTAAAACACAATTACCGAAGAAACCGAGGAACGATTGTACGCGAGAACACAAAAAAAGCGATGAAAACAGTGACTGTTTTCAGGTGGACGTATGTCAATGTTGGTAAATCTGACTTTTGACCTGATTTTTCAGGATCAGGGAATGAGCTTCCGTTTGCGGGAAATTTTGACTATTTAATTTTAAATCATTAAAAAACTTACCTAAAGTGCAGAATGCTTTTTTGTAGAATTTTATTATTCAGTCACAATTGCATTAGCTGCACTATAAAAACATTGATATCAGCAATATATTTATGGAATTGATCGAACAACCTAGTTCGAAATTTTAAATGAACTATTTGCTCCAGGTTGCCGTGTTTTTTTAATTTTACTTATATTCATTTATATGTATATACATATTAAATAATGCAATTTTTTTATTCATTTGTTAATATATGAAATTTTGATATTTTCATTAGCTAGCATTAAATAATTTATTATTATTAATAATATACATATGTCTAATTTCTAATCTGTATTTAAATTCAAGTGAGCCGAGTGGAAGAATGTGCGAAAAGAAACAGCAAATAAAAATAGTAAATTTTAGCCATTTCAATTATACTAAAATTAAATTGGCTTCTAAAAACACTGAGTAAAAAGATGAAAATTTTGATGAACAATTTTTTTTCATTTGTTAGATTTTTGTGAGTGCCTAAGGTTTTTAACTTTGACTTATATGGCGTATGTTATACAATAAGATATATTTTTATAGGCAATTAGTGAAAAAATTTAACGTCTAAATATTGAATGTACATTCGTTTATAAATTCAAGCAATTTAATTAAACATTTTGATTTTTTAAGTGGAATTATGCCAGTTCGGGAAATTTCACCGAAAATCAGGGAAATTTCCGGTGGTCAACGAGGAGAAAGAAAAAATGAATTGGCATCGCTACTAGGGATTTGTTGACCAACAATTAATTTTCTGATCATATATTTAATCTGCACTTAAATGGCCAATATTGGCTATTTAAATATAAGATATGTGTTTGTACCAAACAACAATCAGTTGTTCACCATAAAAAGTTAACAAACATACAAATGCAACAACAATTTCAAGGAACCACCAACAGTGTTGCCACAGTTTGGTATATTTAAATAAAGGTGATCTGAAACCCAACGAAAGTGAAATGGCATTTAAATAACAATCCAAAAATAAACTTAAGTGATATTGGCCCTAAGTATACATACATATATGTATATAAATACATTCCAAGAATTGTAAAGAAAAATGTACTAATCTCATAAAGGATATTGTTTTGTCAAACATGTCGATATACAGTATATTTTGCTTAGCTGCACATCCTTCTTTGCACGAAAAACTTGTGCACGTAACCGAAAAAGGCACTTAAGCGAATTTTCTTTACTACTTCAATGAGGAAGGTATCCGAATCCCTATGAAACCAAATATTGGCGGAGCACTTACCATGTA